ACCTTATTTAGACTGGCTGGTTTATATGGGACAAAGTAAAACAAATAGGTTAGGAGAGTGGTCTGAGAACCTGGCAATGTTAAAATGAGAGCTCTGTACAAAGAAAGTAACTCACCAGTGGAGAGTGAGAATGGAGGCAGGTGCCCAATTAGGAGATCATTAAGCCCAAGCAAAACATAATGAGGTTGCAGAGGAAAGAGAATGAATGAGACCTATATTATGGAGGTGGAATCAACAGAATTTGCTAAAGAACTGCATGTGCTGGCAAGAAGGAGTATACCCATTAACATTTTTTGTTTTCCTCCTGTCTGTATGGCAAGGTCAGGGACTAAGGAAAGCCAGTAACCTTAGCTACATCTAGAAAAAACAGTTCTGCAAAGTATTTGTCCTTCAGATGAGTTTTCTTTTCTATCATGGAAAAGGTGGATTTATAAAAGTATCCTATTTACTCTCTTGAATACTGTACATAATGTTACACACGGCTTAAATACCTTATTTCAGAAAATGCAAATTTATATTACTACTGTGAGAAAAAATTTTAAAATTCACAGAAAAAATCAATGTTGTCTAGAGAATATGACAATAATATCACTGTAAAACAAGTTATGAACATGTGACATCCATCTACCTACAACTATGCAATTTAAAAATAATATTAGAACAGGCCTCATAAAAACTCTAGAATACAACTACAACATAAATAGAGAACAAGTGCTTACCACGTGCCTATTCTAAAATATGATTCACAAGTTACCTCATTTAATCTTCACAATTCTATATAGTTGATCCTAATATAGTCTTGCATCTTATTGCTAAAGAAGGCAAGTCTAAGAAAGGTCAAGGCTTGCTTAGGTTTCATAGCTGGTAAGAGTGGTAGAACCAGGACCGGAATCCATGTTTGGATTTTTTTCATTCTAAAGCTTACATTCTTAACTGCTAAACATACTGTCTATAATTGAAATCATATTGGAGTTTTTTGGTTGAGACTTCAAAAAATTACAATAACAAAATTATAAATTAACAATGGCAATTTAACACTTCCTTGAAAAACAGAAACTACAAATAAGCATAACACTTCTAGATGCTGTTAGCTGGAAGAGCTTGCACACTAATGGAAATTTACACCAACGACATGTCAAGTCTTTGTGCATAACCACCACTCTCTGTCTTACTCTGAGTTACAGTAGCAGGTGTATACAAAACATGCCAGAAAAGAGTGGTGACCCAAATTAACCGTATTTGCCATATATAATATGCTCCCATGTATAACACACACCCACATTTTTGTGTGCATTACACACAGGATTATTATACCTATTATTATACCCATGGTATGTAATCATTATGCCCATGTATAATGAGCATCCTTTTATCCCCTCAAAAATTTGGGCAAAAATGTGTGCATTATACATGGTAAAATACGGTAACTTCCAATGCTTGGAGCAGCACAGAATGGCATTTATGAGTCATAGGCATCTAACATGTATTATAGATAAAATGTGCTGCCCTCTACTGATTTCAGCACCTCCCATTTAACACTGAACAGTCAGTCACGTAAGAAGAAAAAAAATTTTATTATTAGAGAACTAATTCACATCTTCATTTCTCTTTATGATAAGATAAATACAATAAACTATTATTATTTAAGCCAGGAGCAAACTTTGGGCATGTAAGACCAAATACAGAAATATATCCAATAATGATTATTCACTAATTAGGATGGTTAAGGAAATACCAATACAGAAAATGACAAAAGATGAATTATCGAATACATGGTGGTTACATCTTATGCAAGGGATTTATGTCTTACAACACAATTCGAACCCTACCTTTTTCAAATATTTTTTCCTATAGGAATAAATGTAAAGGGAAGTTGAAGAACATCACAAGTATTATATTGTATTTCTTTTTCAAGGGTAGTTTAGCACAATAAATGACTATAATAAAATATGTTTTTAAGAATGCTTTAAAAGCATAATGTACTTGTAGTAAGGTATTTGTATCACTATCACTTACTTCCCAAATATCAAAACTATTTCTTATTTTAACACAGATGATAGTTTGGCTTAGGAGTGCATTAGAGTGGTTGTGATTTTAGAGCCAGGATGCCAGAAGATCCTAATTTAACAAGAAAACTGAAAATAACAGCAAAATAATCACCAAAACCACTTGCAGAAGATCCCATGCATTTAAACAATAGTAGAGTTCATGGGATACTGACAAACGCTCAGTATTTCTGGTTACCAGCTAAAGTGGTACCACCTAGAGTAAACATGGTTAATAATTCCTAGGCCAATGAACTCTGAAACTATGTGATTCTTGATGAGATTTTTTTTAATTCTGGGGATTTGCATTATTTAAAATTTTTAGCATCAAGTGCTCTTTTGCCCTGTTTCAACCCCACAAAACTTCAATTACTTAAAATTAGCTCAATAGAAACATACTCCATTTTTAACAGCCTTTTTTTCCTGATAGAAAACATTACCTTTTTATTTTTTAACAGCTTTATTAAATTATAATATACATACCATAATATTCCCCTTTTGTAAGTTTAAACACAATGAATTTTAATAAATGTACAGAGTTATACAACCATCACCATAAGTCAGTGTTAGAATCATATCATATGATTTTCAAACTGTTCCTAACTTCACCTACCAAAGTAACCAAGAAACTCATTACAACTAATAACTCAGAAGCTTTTTGGCTCTGCTATTTTTTAAAAAGAAAATAGATATGACTGACTTTCAATGAACACATTATCTAAAAAATGCTGAGTATTTTAAACATACTAAAAGAATCATGCTGAGGAGGATTTAAACTGTTCTCCTACAATCTTGTCTACGTTAACTTGGCAAACTAATATAGACAGTACAAGTGTAAAATTAAGTACAGTTTATATTTTGAATTCCAATAAGTGAAATAAGTTTGACTGCAGTTCTACCACTGTCAATAGAACCCAACACATGTGTCTTCCAAAACCAACTAGCTGTGAATACTTAGGGCAAATACCCACCTGCAAAAAAAACTCAGCATTGGCAGTATTTCCAAATAAAATGTAAATTGATATTAACCTCTCTTAAAAAAAACTTTTTACATTTTCTTAAGTTACTACTTAAGTAGATAAATACACATATATTTTAGTATAATATATAGTAAAGTATCCCATGATACCTTTATAGTCAAGATAAAAAATGTGAAAGTAAAATCAGTTTAATTTATGGATGGTTGAACAACAAAGTGTTTTAATAATTCATGGTGAATCTAGTATAATATTGTTGTCAACTGTAATTGATAATTAAAAATTAAAAAAATAATCGTCCTTGGTGACCTAAGGTCACTAAAAAGTGCCATGCTGCAGATCTCTGATTCTGGCTCCATCTACTTTAAGATGTGATGTTATAATATAATAAGTAGTATATATTTATCAGCTTTCCGACACAGAGCTCCTAAAACCCTTGGAATCTCCTGAGTGATGAGGGTGCCAGGAGCATCTTTCATTATTTATAATAAGCCTCTTTCAAACCTGCCTGATTGTATGCTAATTAGGTGACTCCTGGAGGAAGGGAAATGGCTGTCAAGGGAGCCTACCATATGATTAAAAGATTGGAGCTTCAGCTCCTTCCCTGACTCCAGAGGGGTGGGTGGGGCTACAGATCAATCAGCAATGGCCGTGATTTAATCAATCATGCCTATGTAATGAAGCCTCTCTAAGAATAATAAACTACAGGGGCAGAAAGCTTCCAGGTTGGTGAACATACCCAGGTGCTGGGAAGGTAGCATGTCTGGAGAGGGCATGAAAGCTCTGTGTCTACTCCCCAACCTTGCCTATCCCGTACAAACAAAATTTGTTACCTAAACTCAAAATACATACACATATAAACAACTCAAAATGCAGCTACTTTCAATACTTTATGTTTAGAAATAAATGTGGAAAAACTTAACACTCCTTAAGCATTTGGGTTTTTTTTTTACTAGAAAACAATAATTCTCCTCAATTAAAAGACTCAAATTTTAATCATTCTTCCTTGGAAGACTTCACTTTAGAAGTTTCTTCAAAGTTCTTTTCTCATTGAAAATAGGAAACAACCCTGGATGGTGTAGCTCAGTGGATTAAGCATGGGCTGCAAACCAAAAAGGTTGCCGGTTTGATTTCCAGTCAGGGTACACACCTAGGTTGTGGGCCAGGTCCCCAATGGGGGCCGTGAGAGAGGCAACCACACATTGATGTTTTTCTCCTTCTGTTTCTCCCTCCCTTCCCCTCTCACTAAAAAAAATAAGTAAAATATTTTTTTTAAATAGTAAACAAAGGCAATGGTACATAATAACATATGTACTGACTACTTACATCAAAATCTAGCCAGCGCCCTGATCAGTGTGGCTCAGTTAGTTGGAGTGTTGTCCCATAAGCCAAAAAGGGTTGCAGGTTCAATTCTCAGTCAGGGACATGCCTCAGTTGCACCTTGGGTTCCCATTAGGGGCATGTACAAGAGGCAACTGATTGATGTTTCTCTCTCACATTGATGTTTCTTTCCCTCTCTCTTTCCCTCCCTTCCTCTTTCTCTTAAAAAAATAAAATAAAATAATCGAGCCTGCAACTAAAATAAGGTCCAAGAAATATAATTACTTAAAATATTTTAAAAGTACGCCATGAATTACATGCACATTTCTGAGGTGGTGTGTCTATGTTCTGTTTTTATATTATTTTAATTGTTTTCCTTTCTGTAGCACTTCAAGTGAAATTCTTTCACTTAGAATGTAATTTTAAAATAATGTCACAACAATAATTACTATAAGCACTTGAATTTATAACTTAAAGCATTAAGTTCACTTGAAAAATAAAACTGAAAGAAAAAAACAATATGATAGAAAGAGCACTTTTTTGTTCTTTGCTATTTCATAAAAAATATGTACCCATATTAATACACTGAAACAACTAATTACAAGAATATTTTTAAAAGCACACATTTAATAAAAACCATGTAAAATATCCATCTTACCAATATCATTAGCAAGAGAATTAGGATCAGATGCCCCCAGGGTAGCTTCAAACTCCTCTTGGAGACGGTATGCTCTTTGGAGCAGAGCTTCAAGTTTATGGATAAATTCAGTACTAATAATATCCTACAAAGAGAGAAAAAGTGCACACAGCAAATATTATATACTAATGTTAAACTTTGAAATGTTTTCCACTTTTAAATAAAAGGCAGAAAAAGTGAAAGATATAAAAATACTCCTGCTGGGTACAGAGAGTACTGTGACAGAAGTCAGGAGGCCTGGGTTCTAGCGGTGACATTGGCTAAATTATCTCATTTTTCAGGGAGTCAGTTTCTTTATCTGTGAAACTGAGCTGGACTAAATCAGGGATTCTTTTTTTTTTTTTAAAGATTTTATTTATTTATTTTTAGAGAGGGAAGGGAGGGAGATAGAGAGAGAGAGAGAGGAACATCAATGTGCAGTTGCTGGGGGTTATGGCCTGCAACCCAGGCATGTACCCTGGCTGGGAATCGAACATGGGACACTTTGGTTCCCAGCCCACACTCAATCCACTGAGCTACGCCAGCCAGGGCTTAAATCAGGGATTCTTAAAATGAGGTACGTGGACCAGAAGCATCAATATTATCCGGGAACTTGTTAGAAACGCAAATTCTCAGGACCTACCTCAGTCCCACTGAATTAAAAACCTGAGGGTGGGGTCCTTGAATCTGTGTTTTCACAAGCCTTTCAGATGATTCTGATGCATGCCCAAATTTGAGAGTCACTAGTTTAGATGATCAGTAAGTACTGATGAAGTTCTAACTCTATGTGATTTTTGTGACTATAATGGAACTTAATTAAACCCAAAGCACAAAACAGACCTTAAAAAATTCCTTCAAAAATTGTATCTGCTTAATTGTATACATACCTAGAAAATCAGAAAATTGAACAGAAAGCGCCCAATAAGAAACAGTTCCAAATAATCCCAGGGGAGAAAATAAACAGTTCTTTTAAATGCCATAGAAAGCAAGTACACTGAATCAACATTAAAGTAGTTTTGATTCCTCCAAATAGGAATACGACTCTCAAAAAAATCACCCTTACATCTACACTTTCTTCAGCAATGGCATCTCCTGCACCCAATTTAATAGAACTACAGGCTTCATCTTCAGCCTGTCTATTTCGAAAGGTTAGAGCTTGTTCCCATCGGCGCAATGCCTCTTCAAACAATTCCATACCTAAAAATTAAGAACACAACAATTGTAAATAAGCAAAGCAAATGCCAATAAAATCATTTGGCATCTGAAATGTTTTTCATACAGTTATCATCAATGGCAAACACAGTCTGACTGTAGTTTTGGTACTAAAGAATAATTTTATGTTCATGTCATTTCACAGTAGAATCCTTAATTCCCCAATGTATTCCAGGCCTATAGTTTTAGTCAACCAAAAATCAGACACAAACGACTAATGTTTTCATTTTTTAGAAAAAATGTAACTCAAATGTATATGATGTTTGGAATTTTTCTAAAACAGTATCATGAATTCATCAAAAGAGCAACAATAATAGCTATTTTTATAGTCACACAACTACCTTTCAGAATAACACCCTAAGTTAAAAAGAAAACTGATGGGTAAATAAAAGAAACTAGTTGATATGAAGCTACAAGGTTTATAAAGGTTCCCAGAAAGAAAGAGTAAAGCTAAGAGAAAATAAAGTAGTGTAAGAAGTCTAGAATACAGTCTCTTCTACCTTTTTCTCCACTAACAGGTGTCTTAAACAAGTAACATACCAACTTGCTGATCTGGATGGACAAATTCCTGGGCCAGAGTTAAAAGTCTACAAGATTATAGGAAGAACTCATGAAGGGATAGTTCAAGTAGGAATTTTATATTCCTGACAATATGGGAAAATGGGTGAATATGTGCCTCTTTTTCTCCAAATTAAAAAAAAAAAGCTTACCAAAACAAAAGTATTTCAAAATCTTAATTTTTCAAGACATATAAAAGAAAAAAATCTTTAAAAGTTGCTTAAGAATCCAGGAAAGTCATTGTCAAGATGTTTTTAAGATATGATAGTTAAAAGAATACCTCTCCTCTAAAATCATTTCAATTACCTGGAAAACCTACAACTCTAAAAAAATAAAATGTTCTTTAAATGTAATTCAGGACTTTGCTTCTTTGTAGCAAAGGATCACCACCTAAATCTTCCTTCTAAGAAATTTAAGCACTTAAAAGACAATTATTGTACATCACTCTCTACTCTCATTTCTCCAAACTATACAATTCTAATTCCTTCAGCCTTTCTTCACTCCATGCACTCTCTATCCATCTGATTATTCTGGATAAACATAAGGAAGAATTATCTAACAGCAAAGCTATCTCTCAGGAAACACTGGGTCTTACCTCACAGAAGAATGTGGCCCAAAACATCATATTATCATTAGTTTTGTAACAGAATTCAAGCATATTGGATTGGCCAAAAGTTCATTTGGTTTTTTTCTGTGAGATGGCTCTAGTAGCACTTAGTTGTCTTTAACTTCATTTGAAACAATTTTGTTAGAATGTATTGTGACAGCTGTCATATCAGTGTTCACTTGAAAAAAACTTAGCAAAATTGGTGAATCTTTGTGTAGCCATTTTAATATTGAAAATGGAAGAAAATACATAACAGTTCTGGCATATTATGTCTTACTATTTCAAGAAAGGTGAAAATGCAACTGAAATACAAAAAACAAAAGGATTTGTGCAGTGTTTGGAGAAGGTGCTATAACTGACTGAACATGTCAAAAGTGATTTGTGAAATTTCCAGCTGGAGATTTCTCCCTATTCGATGCTCCACATTTGGGTAGATAAGTTGAAGTTGATAATAATTAAATTGAGACATTAATTGAGAACATTCAATATTATACCACATGGGAGATAGCAGACATATTCAAAATATCCAAAATCAACAAAGTTATTGATGAAAATGAAAAAAAAAAGTATCTTTTATGGAAAAAACTAAATGAACTTCTTAGCCATACTAGTATGTCACCAATCTTTTTATGTCATCAGTCTTGTACAGGGAATCAAAACAATGGTGAGTGCTCAGGTGATCCACAGAGCTCTTACCAATCTTGATTCTATCGTACTCTAACTCCTAGCAGCTTCTCTAGTTTTGCTCTATTTCTCATTAATGTTCCAACAAGCTGTGAGATAGGTTTACTACATAGTTAAGAGTTATCTAGAAGCAAATGAGCTTAATTCTCTGAAGACCTTTGAAAAGTTTGCAAAAGAACTACTCTTACACCTTTCCCCACAGACAGGAGTACCTACTGTGATACTACTGGAGATGATACGTCTTCAACTATTCTAGACTTTGGGAATGCATTCAAACACACACAGTCCTTCTGTAAGTCATCATCCCCTTTACTGTTCATTGGCCAAGGCTGCATCAAGGTTTTTTGGTTTGGTTTTTAAATTAGTATGCATTTCCAATAAATGGAATACAGCCTGAAATAGAATACAGAAGAATGGTGATACCCATTTGAAAAAGTATTTGGTCTGACTCAGTGCTTTCTGAGCTCGAGACTTTCTAGACATGCTCATGGTCAAGGCAAGAGAAATACTGAGATGTAAAACAATGGCCTTCTTTCTATTTAAAATTTTCTCTGGATGTAAGAACACAAATGATAGCTAGTGGGTTCTGGAAGATTCATTAGATAAGAGTCAACAATTAGCTTAAGTGAGTGTAATGGTCACCCAAAGGTATCAGGTCTTAGTCTCTGAAACTTGTATATATTATCTTATAAGGAAAAGAGGTCTTGCAGATGTGATGAAATTAAGATTCTTAACATGGGAAGATTATCCTAGACCACCCTGTGGGCCCTAAATTCAATCACAACTTATAAGAGAGAGGCAGAGGGCATTTGATATACAGAGGAGATAAAATGAAGACAAAGGCAGAAACTGAAACCAGGAGACCACAAGCCAGAAGCCACTAGGAGACCACAAGCCAGAAGCCACTAGGAGCTGGAAGACACAAGAAACAGATTCTCTCCTATCCTCCATATGGAGCATGGCCTTGATGACACCTTGATGTTAACCCAGTGATAAAGGTTTCAGGCTTCTTGCCTCCAGAACTTGGAGAGAATAAATTTCTGTTTTAACATACTGAGTGTTTGGTACAGCACCCTCATGAAACTAATACAATAGGCTGGGTTATATACACAAAATTCAACAGATATAAGAACATTTTTAAATTACAGTTGTTCCCCTTAGAATAATTCTTCGTTCTTTAGTTTGACATTAAATGTTGAGTCTATCTTAAAACTTTATTATGTTACTCCTACCCATCAAGTACAAGTTCTCAGGAGTAGTCACAGGAATATTAACAAGTTTAATATCATCTTCATCCGCTTTGTCCCAGGAATTAGAATTGCCACAAGCGCAGCTATGACAAGAATTGACACTCTGGACCTAAAATTAAGATGGACAAAAGTTACTTTGAAATCTCTTTTTTAATAGTATTTTGTGATCTTTTATATTTATAAATTATTTATATATGCCCTATTCCTGGTAAAACCACCCATGTAATTTCTACCTGAAGACCCTAAAAATTCTAAGCCTTTATTTGCTAAAAAATACACAAGTAGAACAATATTTTGAACATAAATCAGTTACTTCCATCAAAAATCAAGCAATTTTTTAGTTTACTATTTTATTAAGTATTTACTTATACATTTTATTCACATCTACTTCTATTTGAAGTAGCTAATATTATAACCTAAAAATAAAAGGCTGAAGTGACAGACAACAAGCATGTATTTGAGATCCATAAGAATAGCTATTTAGGCAGCACTGACTCAGGCAGAAATACCAATAGTGTTCCGAGCAAGAAAGGAAGGCAAGGGACCAATTACTCAATGAGGAAGGCATTTCTGTAAGTGCAGATAAGCTAACCTAGTGATGCTAATTCAGTCTGGCAGTCATCAGGCTGGTAGTCATAATATCTGATTTCTTGTTATCTTTGCAAACAGTTATTTGGGATGCAATGCTGCTTTAGGCCTAGTACAAAGGTTATTTTGCCCTGGTTTAACATGCCAAAGGTTTGACGTCTAGTAAGAGTTGCAAGGCAGTTCTTCTGGGATGGCAGCTCTGACTCCATTTTAAAGTGGCTCCATTTGTATTATTTTTTACACTAGCTTATTTTCGTTTTAGAATTTATTGCAATGTTCATTCTCTACTATATGATAACTAACATTAAAAATCATCTATCATCTTCCCTTCTCTAGCAGTCATTTCAGTCACCTCTGTGCAGAAACAGAGATCTCCAATCTCTAATGCCCGTTCTGTCCACTTTTCAGAAATCTAAACCTGCATTTCCATCTGCCATTTGATGACTCCACTTGGCTCTTCTGCTGGCATCTCAAACAGATTATATGAAAGAAGTACAACAAAAACTCTTCCTCCTCCCATTCACTAGTAGTACATACTTCAACCCCCATAATTTCTCAAAATAGAAAACAAGAAGTGACCTTTAATTTCTCTTCCCACATTTCTCAGATCCAATTACCAAATTCTGTAGACCCTCTCTCCTCCATTCCACTCCTGTTGTCATGACCCTCATTTAGGCATCATCAAAAGGCACAGTGACTCAGTGGATGAAGCACCAGCTTGTGGACCAAAGGTTGCTGGTTTGATTCTTGGTCAGGGCGCATACCTGTGTTGCAGGCTAGGCCCCCACCTGGGGGCACGAGAGAGGCAACAGATCAATGTATATTTTGTGCATTGATGTTTCCCTACCTCTCTTTCACCCTCCTCACTTCTAAAAATAAATAAAGTGTTTGTTTGTTTGTTTTAAGGCACAAATCTGAGTTCACAGACCTGGCAATGGACTCACTAGGCCAGTTGAGGCAGGTATAGTAAAGTCATTCTGAAGACTTGTTACTCACAATATTATCATGAAACTCACTTTCTCTACCTCCTTGTGATGCAGACTCACTTCAACTTTCAGTTGAGAAAATTTAAAACAGAGGCACTTCTGTAACATAAAAGAACAGCTTCAACTTTCAGTTGAGAAAATTTAAAACAGAGGCACTTCTCTAACATAAAAGAAGTCCAAATTATAGAATGGCCATATACTTCATTATCCTGCTCAGTTTTACAGAGGAATTGAAAGTCTGCAAGCCTTTGATAGCTGTTCCTGACACAGAAGAGCCTTTAAAAAATTATTATATTTTTAGGCACTTAAGAATGGGGCAGCTATATATTTCAACCAAGTATAGACGGCACAGAACAAAATATGGTGTTCTATAAATTATTGTTTAAAAAATGTTTTAATCCTCACCTAAGGACATTTTTCATTGCTATTTTTTAAAAGGAGAGAGTAAGGGACAGAGAGAAACATCGGTGTGAGGGAGAAGCATCAACTGGTTGCCTCTTGCATGTGCCTGGACTGGGGATTGTATGTGCCCAGATCTAGAGACATGACCTGCAACCTAGGTATGTGCCCTGACCAGGAATCAAACCCACAGCCCTTTGATTGGATGATGCTTCAACCAACTGAGCCACACAGGCCAGGGCTCTGTAAACTACTTTTTTTTTTCACTAACTTTTATTAGCTATATTTATAATATAAAATAATATGTGACTTAGGTAGAAAGCATCAAACTAAATAATGAGTCTAAGAGAAAAAGTAAACTACCACTCCTCTTATACCTTCCTGGGCCCAGTGTCATTCAGTACAGGAAACCTCTGTTCACAGCTTCTGGAGTATATGCACCCCCTCTCACTTCCCTTTTCAATACATATTGCTTTCTACACAAAGTTTTCTTTCCACACTAAATATATCTTAGACATGTATAAACTACTTTTTAAAATGAATACATGTTGGTAGAGGCATGCACTCCCTGGAAGAACATAGGAAACTGTGTTTGTCTCGAGGAAGGGAATTGAATACATCACAAACACACGTTTCACTGTATATTTCTTGCTTCTTTATTTAGTAGAAGTGTATATACCACCTATTTTTAAAAAGAATTTTTAAATTATATTAGATTTAAACAGTAACTTCATTCCTCACTTATCAATCAATACTCCATTAATGCTCCAAACACAGAAGTGAGGAACTCCATACTTGGCTTCAGCAAGCCAAACATTTTTTCCAAAGCAGGCTCATCAAGTGAATTTTGTGACCTAGTACAAAGTCTAGGTGCATCTTCTAGCTTTTTGCAGAGCATTTAGCTTTGAAGCAACATTTCCATATCACCACCATTTTCAGAGGGCCTCATGGGACCACATCACTTACTCAAAGACCCTGGAAACAAACTGACTGAATAGCAAAATGATCATTTTACTTCCTCAACCAGATTTCTTAAGGTTTTTTACCTTATTAAGAGCTATCTATAATTGTATAACTTTTAAACCAATAGATAACAATAGGTATATAAACAAACTTAAAAGTATAATAAATTTTTTTCTTTACTTACAGAGGCCAAACTCTGTGCAGAATCTGAGTATTTACTGAAAAGTCCTCCATTAACATAGTTACAAGACTGAGATCCTTTGTCTTTGACAGAACTTAAAGATAAAGTCAAATTCTGTCTACTACTGGAACAACTTGAACCTATCAAACGAACATATAAATATTACAACTATCAACAGATCCAATGACAAATTTCAAAATTATGTTATATTCATTCAGAAACCTAATTTTAAAACACATTTCATTCAATTGTGTAAATTACTATACATGTACCATTAAAATCTACTTCTCTATACAATGTTTTTAACACTGCTAAAATGTGCTTCTGAAATGAAGAATAAAATATTCATCTAATTAGTCAAGGTGGTATTGATGGTCTATTGTAATCAGCATAAAAATACTGATAACTATGAATCTTTAAATTATAAATTTAACTATATAAGCCCTTCCTTTCCTGAATCATATATACACCTTATCCATATTACATTATATTGTAATTATTTTTTTATACATCTGTCTTCCTTAACTATCTTTCATTCATCTAGGGCAGACATTGTGTCTTAGTTTATCTTAATGCAGCAGCTAAGACACTCTTCAATTCAAATGCTGGCATTTATTAGTTATATGAACTTGAACAAGTAACTCAACTTTTCCATATCTCAATTTTCTTTATGTATAAAATGGGAATAATAACATAAATTAGAGTCCTAATTCATAGGACTACAGAATTGTGATAAAGGTCAAATACAACAGTGACTATACAGCATTTAGCACTGCACCTGAGATCTAATAAAATTTTAGTAGCGGTTGTCATCATTGTAATGTTCACTGTATTTGGTACAAAATAGTCACTTGTTAATTATTTGCTGTGTAAATGACTCACAAAAAACATGATACACTAAATCATAAATTTAAAAATCATTTCAAAATTAAGAAAATAAGAAATCCAGCATCCTCAAGAAATAAATTTATTTCTTTTTTTTAGATTTTATTTATTTATTTTTAGAGAGAGGGGGAGGGAGGGAGAGAGAGACATATTGATCAGTGGCCTCCCATATGTCCCCAACCAGGGACCTGAGCTGCAACCCAGGCATGCGACCTGATGGAGAATCAAACTGGCAACCTTTTGGTTCACAGGCTGGTGCTCAATCCAGTGAGCCACACCAGCCAGGGCAAGAAATTAATTTTATTAAAACAATTTAGCAATATGTTCTACACTGCTAACAAAAACTATATATCTTTTAAAGGTATAGTATTTCTAGAACTTTACATATTAAGGAAATAGGCAAGTATATGCAAAGCAAGAAAAACATCCTAAAGGGAACAATAGGAAACTGGTTAAATAAATGAAGATTTATTTGGACAAATTTAATACTATGTATATATTAAAAGTGATAGCACATATGTCAATTATTTTTGATAAAACTAAAAATTAACAAATAAGTAAAAATGAAAATTATAGCATAGAGATATATTTATTGACCTGGAAAGACATCCTTAATTGTTACAAAAGGTATGATCAGAACTTTACCTAAAATATATAAGTCATTTTCTTGCATATAATACAATAGTCCTCCCCCCCCACCCACCACCTTATTTGCCTGGAATGTATTCCAAGACACCCAGTAGATGCCTGAAACCACACATAGTACTGAACCCTACATATACTGTTTTTTCCTATGTATACATACATATTGAATACTTTATGGTTTCTCTTTGGCATATCCAAATTGTCAGCATCATTACTCTAGTAGTTTTGGGGCCATTATTAAGTAAAATAAGGGCTACTTGGACACAAGCACTGTGATACCATGACAGTCAATGTGATAACTGAGGTGGCTACCAAGTGATTAATGGGTGGGCAGCATATACAGCATGGATACACTGGACAAAGGGATGATTCTCATCATCCCTGGCCAGATGAATTAGGACAGTGTGAGATTTCATCACGGTACTCAGATTGATACATAATGTAAAATTTATGTTTATTTCTGGATCTTTCTATTTAATGTTTTCTAAGGCCAACTGAAGGTAACTAAAATTACAGAAAGCAAAACCATGGATACAGGAGACTACTTCATATAATTTTATGTCTCAATATGACATTTAAATGGAAATATAAATGGCTGGAGAAACACCAAAGTATTATCAGTAGTTATTTCTAGGGTAGCAAAGTTTCCAGTGATTTTAATTTTCTCTGTATGCTTACCTGCATTTTCTAATTTTTCTAAAATTTATCTGCATCACTTGTAAATTAAATATTAAGGAAGGAAATTTTGGAGACTAAACTATTGGAATCAGTGCATTCCAATTATGGTTTACCTATAAAATTTCCTCTCTGGACCTAATTCAGCTATTTCTACATACCTTTATCTGATGCTGCTCTTTTAGTGTATTCAAGTATGAGGTGCTCTGGTTCCCATGGTAATATATTTCCCTTTTTCTTGCCACGTCTTCTTTTAAAGTGATGGGCCAGAAAAATTACAGATACAGTAGTCACTGCAGTTACCACAAACAACTTTTTAGCTACTGGTGAAAATCTGATCTGGAAAAGATGCAGTTATATTGAAAAAACATCTTATTTGTTCACTTAAAGACATAAGAACAAAAATTATTCTTAAGCTTTCTAAATACTACTCAGGTAATATTATTTTATTTATTCAATGCAACTAGCTCAACTTAAATTTCAGAACCAACCCTCCACCCACAAAATAGGCAATGCAGTAATTTATTACCCACTGCTCTGAAGTTCTCAGGTAAATAATATTACCCAAGAAGTCAAGAGGAGTATAAAATGATTCAACCTCATTAATATTTGTTGAACTAATGATTAATTCATGTAACTAAATCACCTGTTTAAATCAAAGCAAGATTATTAATTATTGGAATGATTAAATAAGACCTCAATGAATCATTTCTTAACTATCTGGAAATTTGGACAAACATACATTCACTCAATTTCTACAATAAATACCATTTGAAGAAGCCCTTCTACTTGTGAATTAATCAACAAATACGCAGCATCTTACAATGTACCAGGACTGTACTATGAAAATTAAAATAAAATCTAATTGTACTAATTATATTCCATACTCATGTAGGGAATGCCTTCCATTGATCAGGAAGCACCGGGAATACAGAAGATACAGATCTTGCTCATCTCAAGCAATGTGCTAATTGATCAAAGAGGACAGATATATTCATGAGTAACCACAGTATAGGGTGAAAAGTACAGTAATATAAGTATATACTAAATACTAACATCAGAACAAGAGGTAATTAACTTTGTCTTAGGGGACTGACACTATTAATCACCTAAAATGCAGAATTCTAAAATAAAGCTATAGGCTTGGGGATGTAGAGAGCTGTAAAGAGTATTTTTTCCAACTTTATACCAACAAAGAAGCCAGACAAACGGCAAGTTCCAATTCTTCTAGAATCCATCAGCTGCTGTCAAGAGGGTAATCAACTGACCCCCAACTAAGGAGACAGGGGTATTTGGAGAGAAAGGGATTAGGCGTGCACACTGGTACACAACAACAAGACACAGCAGAACATAGGCAAGAAGTGGTTAGCTAGCAAGGTTGGAAAATTGTCGGAGACTGAGTATGCACTGGTAAGAGAGAGTGGAGCACCCCCCTGTGGGGGTGAGGAGATGTGCTGCAAATGTAGAGTAATTCTTACTTTTTGCAGCCTTATCTTCAGGAATCCCACCAGGCACTCACAGAAAAGAAGACAAGAGTCCTAAAAAAGTCTCCCTAATGGTGTAGAACTGGGGAAGGGAAGTAGCAGTTTCTGTGGAGGGGCATGTATTGATTACATCAGGATCCTTCTCCTCTATCAGCACAAAGGTTGCTCCTTTTGTTAAGCCCCAAACTATGGGATTCAGTGTTACCTTTAGAAGGAAATTTATACCACTATATGTTTATATTAAGAAAAAAGAAAGATATCAAATCTTTAATCTGAGTTTTCACCTTAAGAATCTAGAAAAAGAGCAAGTCCAACATAAACCAAAAAGACATTAAATAATAAAAACTAAACAAAAATTAATGAAGTGGAAAACCAAATCAATAAAATCATGAGCTGTTTTTTTTTAAGATTCTATTTATTTATTTTTTAGAGAGGGAAGGAAGGGAGAAAGAGAGAGAGAAACATCAATGTGCAGTTGCTGGGGGCCGTGGCCTGCAACCCAGGCATGTGCCCTGACTGGGAATCGAACCTGCAACACTTTGGTTCTCAGCCCGTGCTCAATCCACTGAGCTATGCCAGCCAGGGCTTCTTTTAATGAACAAAACTTCCAGCCAGTCACCTCAATAAATTCAAATTTATAAAAAAGCCCTGGCTGGGTAGCTCAGTTGGTTAGTGTTGTCCCGATGCACCAAAGCTAGCTGTAGGTTCAATCCCTGGACAGGACACATACAAGAATCAACCAATGAATGCATAAATAAGTGAGACAACAAATTGATGTTCCCCCCTCCTCCCTCTCCCTCTAAGATCAATAAATAAAATTTTTAAAAAGGAAAAAAGAGAGGGCAAGAAAAGACATTAACAAAAGCAGAGATGAAAGAGGGGTTGTTACTGAAGACCTCACAGATATAAAAAGGATAAAAAAGGATTATTATGAACAACTCTATGCCCAGAAACTCAACAACGTAGATGGAATGGTTCAGTTCCTTTGAAAGATAAAAACTATCAAAATTTACTCAGAAAGAGATAATAATTACTACTACTAAAGAAATTGACTGTGTAGTTAAAACCTTCTAACAAAGAAAACCATAGGTCAAATTCTACCAAATATTTAAGGAAGAAATATCAATTCCATTGAAAGAAGCAATACTTCCCAATCATTTTATGAGGCCAGCAAGATATTACAAAAATAAAAAAAGACTATGTGTTGTTAACTGTTGAGGCTGAATGTCAGGTACACAGGGGTTCATTATATTATTCTGTTTTGTACATGCTTAAAATTTTAGAAAATAAATTATTTTTAAAATGAAAATAATTACTATAAACTTTCAAACTATAATGTAACAGTAGAATAAAAATATTTATTTATTACCATTTAAAATATATGATCATATGTAGAAACGTCCTATGAAACTCATAAAAAAGTACTAGAATAGTGAGCTTAATGAAGCTGTAGGGTACAAGACCAGAATGTAAAACTGTATTTTCATAAACTAGTGACAACCAGAAATTAAAATTTTATTTTTTTAAGATTTTATTTCTTTACTTTTAGAGAGAGGGAGATAAAGGGGGAAAGAAATATCAGTGTATGAGAGATACATTGACTGGTTGCCTCTCACACACCCCCAACTGGGGATCTTGCCTGTAACCCAGGCATGGGCCCTGACTGGGAATCGAACTGGTGACCTTTCAGTTCACAGGCTGGCATTCAATCCACTGAGCCACACCAGCCAGGGCCAGAAATTAAAATTTTAAAAATTTACAATAGCATCATAAATTATGAAACAGTTAAGGATAAATCCGACAAAATGTGAAGGACATGTACCCTGAAAACTAACAAATAATGCTGAAAGAAATAAAGCAGAAACAAATGGAAAGCTGTACTATTTATAGATTGAAAGACTCAATAAAGATATCAATTGTTCCCAAACTGAACTATAGGTTCAGTGTAATCCTAATTACAAACCTAGCAAGTTTGTTTTGTTTTGGGTAGAAACTGATAGCTGATCCTAAAATTCATACGGATATAAAAAGGATCTAGAATAGTCAAAACACTTTTTATAAAAGAAAATCAAAGTTGGAAGACTAACATTACCTTATTTGAAGACTTACCATAACACTACAATAAACCCTGGCTGGTATAAACCCAGTGGACTGAGCACTGGCTTGTGAACCAAGGGGTCATCAGTTTGACTCCCAGTCAGGGCACATGCTTGGGTCGTGGGCCTTCAGGTTCCCAGTAGGGGGCACTTGAGAGGTAACCATACATTAACATTTCTCTTCCTGTTTCTCCCTCCTGTCCCCTCTCTCTAAAAATAAATAAATAAAATCTTTAAAAAATAAAACTGCGATAAATAAGACAGTGTAATATTGGCATGAATAGAGACAAATAGAGCAATGGTACAGAACAGAGAGTACAGAAACAGACCCACACATATAGAGATGACTGATTTTTGGCCAAAGTACAAGAGCAACTTGGTGGAGGAAGGAGAGCCTTTCCAACAACTGGTGTGTGGGAGGGGGGTGCGGCGAGCGGACTGGTGATCCATATGCAATAAAATGGAACTTCAATCTATGCTTCGCACCATATACAATAATTTGCTTATAGATCACAGACCTAAACATAAAACTTAAAATTATAAAAGTTCTAGAAGAAAGAATAGGAGAAAATCTTTGTGATCTTTTGTTAGGCAAATATTTTTTTGATATGACACCAAAGGCCTGATCCATTAAAAAAAAAATTGACAAATTAGACTTCAGAAAGAAACCCTTTTACTATTTAAAAGGCACTGTTAGGAGAATGAAGACAATCCACAGACGAGAAGAAAATAGCTGCAAATCATATATATGATAAAGTAATTGTATCCAGGTCATATGAAGAATTCTCAAAACTTAGAAAACAAAACAAAAACTTTAATGGGCAAAAGCTTTGAAGACATATCAACACAATATATAAGGATGACAAATAAGCATGTGAAAGCATGTTCAACATCACCGATCATCGGGGAAATGCAAATTAAAACCACAGTGAGATTCTACTATACACCTATTTTAGAATCACTAAAAAGACTGGCTATGGTCCATCTTATACCAACGATACAACTGCTTTGGAAAAAGCCTGGCATTTTTTAAAAAAAACTAAACATATACCTAATTGATGAAATTTAGTCATTCCATTCCTACTTACCCCAAGAAAATGAAAGCATACATCTCTATGAAGACTTGTACAGGAGTGTTCTTAGCAGCTTTATTTATAATTAAAAAAACAAAAAAAGGAACAACCCTAATGTCCATCAATAGGTAAATAGATGAACAAACTCTGGTACAATGGAGTACACTTCTGTAATAAAAATAATTAACTATTGATACATATATAGATCTCAAAATAATTGGGATGAGTGTAAAAAGGGAGCCAAAACAAAGTACATACTGTATGATTCCATTTACATAAAATTCTAGAATACACAAGCTAATCTGCACTTACAAAAAGCATCAGTGGTTGCCTAGGACAACATGGGGGGGGAGGTGCAAAGGGAGAGAATACAAAGGGGAACCATATGGAGGTGAAGGATATGTTTGGAGGTGATGGATATGTTCGTATACATATATGTCAAAGCTTAAATTGCATACTTTAAATATATACAGTTCAATGTCTGTCAATTTTACCTCAATAAAGCTCTTTTAAAAATGTAACAATTGTTTCTATACATAAATCCAAAAGAATTGCTCATTTTCTGATATACCAGAAATGATTTACTTCCACTTGCCATTAGCATTTGGCCTTAGGAACTACGATCTAACAAAAATTTAAAACTATCCTTACTCTACTTGTCTTCCAATTCTATTTAAATTCCTCTA